TCGTTTGTGTAAAATATGTAGAGCAGGGAGTTCATCTAATAAGATTTTAATCCTAAAGGACTTGAAAACAGAAGATTGAAAACTGTGCAAGAAGTTAGAAATTTTTTGATTGTTGTTAATATATAACCAAGTGGCTTGCCAATTAATTTGGTTAAAAATTTTGTTTTATTTTTGAAACCGGTTTTGTATTATCCATAATGTATAAATATGAGCATGGCATATTGTACGGATACTACGGCAAGTAGATAATTCTAAAGAAAAGCTCTCAAAAGTTAGAGTATAAGATGGATTGTAGATATTATAAGGCATAAATATAAGATATGATAAATTATAGTGATTGCGTGCAAGTTGGTCAGCAAGATTGTTGTAATTGTCTTTTTTTTTTTTTTTTTAATGTTAAGGTAACCACTTTGAGGTCTAGCAGTTTTATTAAACTTTGGATCAAATGCCAAGGCAACCACATGGGCTACCCCTGACTTTGTTACATTAATGAGGATACATACTAGCCATATATACAACTTTTGGTTGTCTATTTAAGCAGTTTTGTATATATAACCGATATGAACTACACTAGATGTCATACCTGTAATCTACTATTACTTGAGTTATCTAATTAAATCCTCTGATCAACTTAACGCTGTCAGGATATTCTCCTTAAAGAGGAACTGCTGTGTAAGCCCCTTAGGACTTTAAAGCAGACACACACTACTATATAGAAGGGTCCTTTATCCTTGTAATAAACCTATCAGAGCGGTCCATGTCCCACACATATATCACCTAGATTTTTAGTAACTTACGCCTAGGCCACAGCCAAGTACTTGAGGCTTTTTACCTCTGCTATCATTATCTACTCTGTGCCCTTGCAAAGTTTACCCAAATCTCAGCACACACTTTACAGACTATCAACAGTACTTTGATGCCAACTAATGGTGCCCTAAACTTCTAATCCAGATGGCCGAAAGGGACCAGTGGGCGTCTCCTAGTATTCTGAATGAATCCTTTTTCCTCCAGCTAGTCCGGCGGTCTGGTTGGTGTAGTGCTTTTGCCAAACACTCAGTCCTCGTTCAGTTTTACTGCTAGTGTCCGGTTTCCCAGATGATAATCCTTTATGTAGTACCGTTAAAAATCTGTGATACCTCTCTACTCAGGACTTCCCAAGCAGGCTTCTGTATTTCTCGATCCCTTGGATTGATTTGGCTGCTTCACTCAGATTTTGTGTAACTTATACATTACACTATATTCCACAACCTCTCAATACGAGTTGGTGAGACCAAGGTTATAGGTGCTTATTCAATCGATATGTCATATAGTTTTACTGTAACGCATTTCCGCAAATTCGAATTTTGTCACCAATGGGATTCGAATTCTTGTTCTGCTGCTTAGAGGTGCAACAACTTACCAACTACACTAAGTTGCCACACCCTCGTAATTGTTATTTTGATGAGCAGTAACTTTATGAAATATAATATAAATATTATAAGATTTGATAAAGTTAATAAGTGTATTCCATAGTGAAAAGTATAGTATATATGTATATGAAAGGGTAGTAGGAGAGTGCACAAGGCTTTGGTATTTAGAAATTACAGATTAAGAATTAGTATATATATTTATAGTGCAGTTTCTGGGAGCAGTAATGAGAGCTGATAAAATAGCTACAAGTTCTGCCTTAAATGAACAAAGCCAGAGTTTTGTCTGAGCATGAAATGTATGTAATATTAGGTTGTTAGAGATTTGAACCCATCCAATACCCATAGAGCATTGTGGAGTTCCTAAATCGATAACTGAGCTATCAGTATAGAAATGAAGTTCAGATAAGTTAGAATTGTAGTTGACAATTTGTTGAAGATTATTTGTTGATAAGCTAGATTCAAAAATTATTGGAATTGAGTATGTAGTAATACAAATATTAGGTAAACTTGGGGTTTGAATAGGGTGTCTAGTTGCAATAGAATATATAAAGTCTAGATGGTTGGCATTAAATTTAAGAGTTTTGTTTGATGTATTTACTCGGCCAAAGAATTGAGTTGAAAGGTTAATAGAAATAATAACTGTATATTTATTAGTGATTGTGTAGGAGTTAAGAGAGCAACCAGAATATATTTGTAATAGAATAGATGAAAGAGGATAAAGGCGAGTAAATTGTGATTTAATATGGCATTGCTAGTGAGTAATTAGGATATTTCTAGATAAAGAAGGTTGTCTTCTAACTTTGTTGGTAATAATTTGGTTATTATATACTGTGATAAGCCATGGCTTTTTTTGTGAAGAAAAGTGTCCAGTTGTATAACTGTAATAGTTGTTTGAGGTAGATGTAGATGTTGATAAAGTGTGCGATTAGAAGAGTGACTAGTAACTAAATCTTCTAGATAAGTAAACCAAAGTGGTTGTTTGCCTTTTGGAATCTTGTGTATACGAGGAGAAATATGTTTCCAATCTAATAAGCATGAGTTATCAAAAGTGGTGAGTTGGTCAAGATATAAAATATGATGATATTTAAGTTGCTTTTTGAAGGTTAAATATTTAGAGTATGAAGAAAGCAGAGATTCTAGAGATATAGAGCCCTCTTGAATAGTATGTAGAATATTATATATTGGATTAGCAGTAAATGTTATACCAAGATATTTAAAGAGTTGAATAATCTTAAAACTAGTTGTATATTTGTTAGGTCCATCAATATAAGGGTTGTCATGTATTAATATACTAGTAGCCGACCAAAGATTATTCTGTAGTTGTTGAAGTCGAATACATATACTAGGTCATGAGAATTAAGTATTTTAGTAAAGTTTGTAATATGGTATTGCAGTTGGATATCCTATATATTGTGAATATTATATAGTTGAGGATGAAGTAGTATACTAGTAGGAATTGTATGACTAAGTTTAGCCTTACTTTTAACAAGTTCAATATGATTGGTAAGGATTTTGTTATATGTATTCTGGCTAAGAACAATATTATGCAAGTGATATTCAATTGTAGGAATAATGACTATATTGACAATATATCATGCATGTGTGTCAGTAATTTGTTTAGTACTAGCTATTTTAATAAGGTATGATGACTCAGCTATAATAAGCTTAATTTGATTTATTTGTTTGTTGTTAAGTGTAAACCAGCATCCAAGAAACTTGAATGGTTGATTTGAGGGATAGAGATTAAATAATTGATTGTTATAAGTGTAGCATAGTTTTCGAAGAGCCTTTGTACATAGTAAGAGGGATGTTAATCGATAATGAAATGTATAATGAATCAACAAGTGAAAAAGTGCAGCAAGAAAATAGTTCGAATGACTTGCGTAATCATGTAAATGATCGGGGTCATAATAGAAATCATAATGTCGGGCGATAATGATAGGATCGGGTATAATAGGTACCATGATTACTGGATATAACAATGACAATATATTGGGAACAATTAAAAGTTTATTTGATTAATAATGTGAAAGATAGTTTAAGGGTTACACAAAGTATGCAACAAATATTTATGTGTAAATAATGAATGTAAAGTATCAGGTGGTGAATTAAAAGTATATTAATAATCAGGGTTGTACAGAGTAGTATAATAGAAAATTAATATAAATAGAAAAAGTAAAGAACGTAAAAGGGTTTTACACTGGTAATAAAGAAAAAAGCGTTTCATTAATAAAAGATACTTACGTGTGTCATCCTGGTGCTTGTATTAAGGAGAGTGTTATTTAAGCCAAGCGAGACCGGAAATAAAGGTAAAGCCGTCTGGGCAAAATTACAGTCACTACAGTGATTATATAACTCTGTGACAGTGAAGGACCTGGGCAAAAGAAGTACTCTCGTAACAATAACGACGTGAAGCCAAACAAGATTGTCAACTAGACTCAAATTACGTAAATGAAAGTAACGAACCTGCATAGAAAAGAAAAAAATAAAAAAAAAAATAAAAATAAAAATAAAAGAAAAGAAAAGAAACAAGTTTCAAAAGACTATACGAAAAGGATAATAAACATTGTACAAAAAATCAAGTGCTGAATTTTCTGATAAAAGACAATAAGATTACGATCGCGCGAAAACAAAGTATAAAATAAAGAAAGTACGTACAAACCTTTATAGAAACGATCAACCATGTCGACTCAAGATTTCACCAAACCGTTCTATCATGGTTATGCGAATGAGGATATGGAGGATTTTCTTTTCAACTTTGAGATGTATGCAGAATCTAAACAATGGGATGATGATCGTAAGAAAATGGTCGTAGGACTGCACGTGTCGGATAATACAAGGGTCTGGGTGCGTGAACTTATGAAGGTCGCAGCTACATGGAAAGATCTAAAGACTGGAATGGTAAAGGTGATAAAAACCAAGTACCACGCTGAAGAAAAAGTTGTAAGATTGATGAAAATTAAACAAGAAGAGAATGAATCAATAACTGAGTATACCAATAGGTTTGAAACCTTGGCCGAGATCCTGAAAAATGATGTAAGAGAACGTGAAAAACATGAATGGTATAGAGCAGGGTTGGGGAGTGAGTACAGAACCAAGGTCGAGATGAATTATCCAACTGATTTCAATGAAGCAAAGAATTTGGCCCTAAAAATTGAAACATATAGTAAAGATAATGAATATGACACGCAAAGAGCGACTAAGGCGTTAAAGGAAGAATCTAATGTAGGAAAAAAGCTCGACGTTGATGATATAACTGCGGCGATGGAGGGTTTGAAAATATGTAGAGTTGAAAAAGAACCTTACAATGAAATTCAGAAAATAAAGAATGCTGTAAAGAAGCTTACTTTGGTGGTAAAAGATCTCGCTACTAAGGGTGCTCCCCAATAACAGTATAATCGTAACATGGCACCTTCACATTGTTTTACATGTCAAAAGGAGAGTCATATATCACTTGACTGTCCCGATAAGATTCTAAGAAACCGGTTCGTAAATAAGGCTGATGATCGGTGGGGTAAAGGTGGAGACCCAAAGAACGAAAATACAAATAAGCAAGGGCCTGACGTCCGGCTCGTAGATATTATTAATGAAATGACAAATGATGATAATGAATACTTAATGGTAGAATTAGTTGAAATAGAGCCAGATTCTGCTAATGTGAGAAATTTAGGGAAAAGAAAAAAGAATGAAATGGTCGTGAAAAGGCCCAATAAAAGAGGAAGACCAAATAAAATATTAGAAGTACATCTTGTAGAATCCTCTTCGTTTCCTAAGGAATGTAATGGCAATTCGACAATGTATATACATTAACTGACTTGGCGGAAGATCTTGATGTTTTGAAAACCGTGGCCGATCTGAAATTTAATATATCGCTTGGTCAGCTATTAAGTGGTCACCAAAGGCTAGGGGTGAAATTATGAAGACTCTGGCACGTAAAAGGAGGGACATTGATATAGCGAACGTTGATGTTAGGCTGCGATTTGTTAATGATGGCTTCGTTCGTGGTGGCATGAATGAAATAGTACCTGTTTGGCCAGCACGAATAAATGGTGAAGCAGTAAATGTACCAATTGATCCCGGGTCATGTCTAAATCTAATGCATGTAGATTATGCAAAGAGACGGGGACTTGTATGGCAACATGCTAATAGAAAAAGAAGGATGGCTGATGACAGATTGAGTGACTTTATAGGATACATACCACAAGTAAAAGTTGAGATGGTAGGAGTGATGGTGACCCAAAATTTTTATGTAATGGAATCAGCAAGTTTTGATGTCCTATTAGGAATTCCGTGGTTGGCCGGTGCCTAATGTAACCTCTATTGAAAGAATGAATACTGGTGTACAGTCTCTTCATCAAATAGAGAATCGTCATTTCTTGTTTCTGTGGTACCCTAGAATTGGGTAGAAAAGAAC